CAAATAAAAAAAAAAAAAAAGAGAGATGGGAATCTCACTATGGTGCCTAGGCTGCTCTTGGACTCCTGGGCTCAAGCAATCCTGCCTCAGCCTCCCAAAATGCTGGGATTACAGGCGTGAGCCACTGCACCTGGTGGAGACGTTTATAAGAACAATTAAAACAATATTACAACAGTGTTTCTTGGTGTTAAGGGATATCATCCACTGCCCTGAGAGTCTGGTCAGTGGCCACTAATCCTATTCTACAGTAAAGAGAAAAACCTTGGAATGTGGTTTACTCCATGCTGTGCAGAGAAAGACAAGATTGTTTGAATATTTTTATTTTTTTATTTTTTATTTTTATTTATTTGTGAGACGGAGTCTCCCTCTGTCACCCAGGCTGGAGTGCAGTGGCGAGACCTCGGCTCCCTGCAACCTCTCCCTCCCGGGTTCAAGCAGTTCTCTTGCCTCAGCCTCCCGAGTAGCTGAGACTACAGGCATTTGCCACCACACCTGGTAAATTTTTGTATTTTTAGGAGAGATGGGGTTTCTCTATGTTGGCCAGGCTGGTCTAGAACTCCTGACCTGAGGTGATCTGCCTCCCTTGGCCTCCCAAAGTCCTGGGTTTACAGGCATGAGCCACTGAGCCCAGCTGAATATTTTTAAAGAATCAGTAATTCTGTGAAAAAGCGAAAGTCTATGATTCTCCAATAGAGCAAATCAGATGAAGTAGTCAAGAAAAATCAGGCTGGAATTCCAGTAGTATTTACAGAATCTCCTGAATGTTGATCAACCCAAAACCTTGTGCATACTGAGATAAGTCTTTGGTCTACACCCAAATACCGTTATCATAAATCGGACGAAGAAAAGAAGAGCTAGGTGCCAGATAGGAATGCCAGAGCCCATCAGTGAACCAGCTTGCAAGAAGAGGTTTGGATTTGGAAGGGCTCAACTCAGAGCGTAAAGATTTAGCCAGGTACAGTGGCTCACACCTGTAATCCCAGCACTTTGGGAGGTCTGGGTGGGAGGATCACTCGAGCTAGAGTTTGAGATCAGCCTGGGTAACATAGTGAGACTTTGTCTCTACTAAAAATTTTAAAAATTAGCTGAGCCTGTTGGCATGTGTTTATGGTCCCAGCAACTCAGGGGCCCAAGGCAGGAGGATCACTTGAGCCTGCCTGGGAGATTGGGACTGTAGTGAGCTATGATCAAGAGACCCTGTCTCAAAAGAAAGAAAGAAAAGAAAGACAGAAAGAGAGAGAGAGAGAAAAGAGAGGAAAGAGAGGAAAGAAAGAGAGAAAAGAGAAGAAGAAAGTAAAAGTTCTGGGACACAGCCGGGCATGGTAGCATGCACCTGTAGTCCTAGCTACTTGGGAGGCTGAGGAGGGAGAATCCCTTGAATCCAGGAGGCAGAGGTTGCAGCGAGCCAATATTGCGCCACTATATTCCAGTCTGGGTGACAGAACAAGACTCTGTGAGAAAAAAAAAAAAGGCCTGGCGCAGTGGCTAACACCTGTAATCCCAGCACTTTGGAAAGCTGAGGCATGCAGATCATGAGTTCGAGACTAGTCTGGCCAACACAGTGTAACCCTGTATGTACTAAAAAAAAAAAAAATAGCTGGGTGTGGTGGTGTGCTCCTGTAATCCCAGCTACTTGGGAGGCTGAAGCAGGAGAATCGCGTGAACCCCAGAGGCAGAGGTTGCAGTGAGCCGAGATCACGCCACTGCACTCCAGCCTGGGCGACAGAATGAGACTCCATCTCAAAAAAAAAAAAAAAAAAAAAGTTTCTGGGATTGGCCAGGCTCTGAGTCAAAGTTCAGCATTGTGGGTCAATTTCTTTCTTTTTTTTTTTTTTTGATACAGAGTCTCGCTCTGTATCTCGCTCCAGGCTGGAGTACAGTGGAGTGATCTCCGCTCACTGCAAGCACCATTCTCCTGCCTCAGCCTCCTGAGTAGCTGGGACCACAGGCACCCACCACCACACCCAGCTAATTTTTTGTATTTTTAGTAGAGACGAGGTTTCACCGTGTTAGCCAGGATGGTCTCGATCTCCTGACCTCGTGATCCGCCCGCCTCAGCCTCCTAAAATACTGGGATTGCAGGCGCGAGCCACCGGGCCTGGCCATTGTGGGTCGATTTCTAATTGCACAGCCTCCACTCTGGACCTTGCCTTGCCTCTGCATTTACTGTTCGAGTAAATTTGTAATCATGAGATGAAAAATTAAGCTGTCCTGTAGCTCTTACACTGATCCAGGATTAGTAACTGGCTTTTTAAGATGTTTGAAAGAGTTCATCCGGTCATGGTGGCTCACACCTGTAATCCCAGCACTTTGGGAGCCGAGGCAGGAGGATTGCTTGAGCCCAGGAGTTTGAGACCAGTCTGGGCAACATAGTGAGATCCCGACTCTACTAAAAGTAGAAAAATTTAGCTGAGTGTGGTGGTACATGCTGGCGATCCCAGTTACTCGGAAGGCCGAGGTGGAAGGGTGCTTGACTCTCCCAGGAGGTTGAGACTGCAGTGAGCCATGATCACACTACTGCATTCCAGCCTGGGACACAGAGTGAGACCCTGTGTCCAAAATAAATAAATAAATAAATAAAAGAATTCAGTCATCTGATATACTAAATGTCTGATTTATTCATTTCCAAGAGCCCCATCAGTGCTTAGGAAGATGTTGATTTTGGATTTGTGCTCAGCTCCATTAAGAGAATCAACAGAATCAGTGGGGCGCGGTGGCTCACGTCTGTAATCCCAGCACTTTGGGAGGCTGAGGCGGGCAGATCACAAGGTCAGGAGATCGAGACCATCTTGGCTAACATGGTGAAACCCCGTCTCTACTAAAAATACAAAAAATACTAGCTGGGCATGGTGGCACACGCCTGTAGTCCCAGCTACTGGGGAGGCTGAGGCAGGAGAATCACCTGAACCCGGGAGGCGGAGCTTGCAGTGAGCCGAGATTGCGCCAATACACTCCAGCCTGGGCGACAGAACAAGACTCTGTCTCAAAAAAAAAAAAAAAAGGAATCAAGAGTCGAATCGATTATGTTTCTAATTGTTATTTGAGATGTCTAAGGGTATTTTGTTAATCAGGCATTTAAGGCATGCAAAATATTTAGGGAAAAGTTGAGCTGTGAAATTAATATTTGTATTTATTTATTTATTTATTTATTTGTTTGTTTTTTGAGATGGAGTCTCATGCTGTCGCCCAGGCTGGAGTGCAGTGGCGCTATCTTGGCTCACTGCAAGCGCCTCCTCCTGGGTTCACGCCATTCCCCTGCCTCAACCTCCCGAGTAGCTGGGACTACAGGCGCCTGCCACCATGCCCGGCTAATTTTTTGTATTTTTAGTAGAGACGGGATTTCACCATATTAGCCAGGATGGTTTTGATCTCCTGACCTCGTGATCCGCCCACCTTGGCCTCCCAAAGTGCTGGGATTACAGGCGTGAGCCACCGCGCCCGGCCTACTTATTTATTTTTTATAGAGATGGGGCATGCATTTAAGGCTTGCAAAATATTTAGGGAAAAGTCAAGCTGTGAAATTCATATTTGTTTTGATTTGCTTATTTATTTTTTATATTGCCCAGGGTGGTCTTAAAATTGTAGGCTCAAGCAATCCTCCTACCTCAACCTCCCAAAATACTGGGATTACAGGTGTGACCTACCATGCCTGGCCAAGCTGTGAAATTTATAATCTAATGATCATTCATCAAAAAATGTGAAAGTGAATTTTATAATTTTCCAAATTATTAGTCAATACCATATCTGGAAGGCCACTATAAAGGCTTAAGGAAAATGAGATTTTTATCTAACAACTTTAACAAATCGATTATAAATTAAAACGCAAAGAATGAAGTGTTCTTTTCCATGCATAAGTCCCCTAACTTGGATGTGGTTCCCCCACTAGGCGGTGACCAAGTGATGCCCTCCCTGAGGGCAGGCGTCGATGGAGTCTGTTTGCTTCTCATGGTTTCTCCTATTGGGAACATGGTCCCTGGCACATGGCCTCATTGATGTTTGTCGAATGAATGAATGAGGTACTGGGCAGTGGCTGCAGGCCCATGCCACTCCCAACCTGGTCGGCAAGCCCCTTGCATGGCACGCAGAGGCAAGCAGGGAAGCATGTTTGTGGTGCTAGCACGGAGGAGGTCGACGGCCAGGAGGCACCGGACTCCAAGCCCGAGGGTCTGTCTTCTTTGCTGGGTAGGCTAAGGTGTGAGGCAGAGGCCCTCAGGACCCGCAAGGGCACTGCAGTGCTCAGCATTTCCCCAGAGGGCAGTGGCCTGGGAAGAGATAGAGCCAGGCTAGGGAAGGGTGGGGCCCTGGTGAGGCCTTGCCCCTCCTCCTCTCCCAGGGATCTGAGCTTCTGGGGTCAGTCACTCAGCAGCCACCTACAGGTGGCAGAATCTGCTATCCTTCCCAATGGCTGGGTGTCCCCCAGTGCGGCTGGAGGGGTGACCATGGGGGGCCTTTGGGCAGGCGGCTCGGCCACTGCACCTCCCTCTCACCTCCGTAGCCATTCCCCAGCTGGCCGTTGCTGCCTCTCTTCACCTCAGGGCCCCCTACAGCACAGACGGACAGATCAGGGGCACTTGGGTCACCAGAGAGCTTCCGTCCACCCAAGCTTCAACCCAGGCTCTGGGAGACCCCCCCTCTCCGGAGTACCCAGGGCTCAACTCTGCCTCAACTTCTCAGAGGACCGTGGGGAGAGGGACAGAGTGTGGAGAACTGAGTCCCTGATGGCCCAGCTCCATCACCTCCCCTTCTTGGTCTAGTGTCCGGGCTGGCTCTCAGGGTCCTGGGCTCTGCTGGCCTCTCCTCCAGCCCCGTTCCTTCCTACTCCTTCCTGCCTATGCCCTCCTGGCCTCTTCCCACTCACTCTATCCCCTCCACCAAGAGGGCTGTACCTTCCATCTCTGTGGGGCTGTGGGTAGACCTGGGCCCAGGGCCCAGTTCCCTGAAGCCACCTCTAATGGCTCCAACACACTCATCCAGGCATCCCATTACCTGGCTGGCTCCTGGCCTCAGCATATTCACCTCCAGCCTGATATCCAGGCTTCAAGCCAGCCCCCCAGGCCTGAAGGGTGGGCCAGCGAGAGTCCCACAGCACCCGGGCCTGCACCGTGGGGAGGAAAGCTGGCATGGGCACCGTTGCCCACAGGAGCTGCGATCCCCTGGCCCCTGTTGGACTTGGCTCTGCTCCCTGAAGGCTCATTTCTTACCATTTCCTTCAGGGGCTGGAGCTCCTGCTTTGGGGTACACCAGAGCTTCTGCCTCATCCCCTGCAAGAGACTCTGGTCATTCCTGCCTAGCCCCTGGGCTGTTGTCTCCCCAACCCCACTGCACTTTGTCCCCTGGGTCTGACTCACCATTCCTAAAACCTCTGGCCCCAGGGAACTCTGGAGGAGGAAAGAGGGTGTCAGAGGCCAGGCTGGGGCTCTAAGCCCAACTCTCCTACCCCCACCCCTGCTCCCCAGACACCTGGCTGTGGGTGGGCCTCGGGGAAGACCCTGGCTCCCAGGACAGCATTCCCATAACCAACACCTGCAGGACAGAGATTGGAGAGGAGCTAGGGACAGGCTAGTGGAACAGGGACAGCATCAGGAGGGCCAGGTGACCAGCTCATAGACGGGGGATGCGGACAGACAGACTGTCTCAGGCATGAGGGAGATGCCAGCTTCTGCCCGACATGGGGGAGCCCAGGGGGACTCACCAATTTTCTGTGGCTGGAGGCCACCATTAAAACCTGGGGGAGAGAAAACTGTGACTCAGAGATGAAGGTCAGCGAGAGCCACTGCCCTGGCCTCCCCTCTTCCTGGGATGCCAGAAGGAAGAGAAGGGAAGAGGAGGGGAAGGGAGGGGAGGAACTCCAGGAAGGGCCTCCTCACCCGGTTCTGCTCCTGGTCCATAGCCATTTGGAGGCTGGTGCCCTGTGAGGAGAAAGAAGGTCAGTGCGGAGGACCCAGGTCTCCCCTGACTCCTGGGGGGCCAAAGATGGACCTTAGGGACTCTGGAGGGGAAGCAGGGACTTTTTGTGTCCACAGGGAATGGAACCAGAAGAAACAGACAGCAGCAAGAGGCTGGGAGCGGTGGCTCACGCCTGTAATCCCAGCACTTTGGGAGGCTGAAGCGGGCTGATCACTTGAAGCCAGGAGTTCGAGACCAGCCTGGCCAATGTGACGAAACCCCGTCTCTACAAAAAATACAAAGATTAGCCAGGTATGGTAGTGCGTGCCTGTAATGCCAACTACTTGGGAGGCTTATTTTGCAGTGAGCCAAAATTGCACCACTGCACTCCAGCCTGGGCGACAGAGTGAGACTATCTCAAAAAAAAAAAAAAAAAAAAAAAAATGGAGCAAGAGGGTAGAAGAGGGTAGACTCGGGGAGGGACTTCCTGGCCTTAGGGTACCTGAATAGCTGAGGCAGCCTAGGGAACAAGGGTGATGGAGGAGTGACCCTGATATGGGGTGGGGATAGAGGACAGACCTAGCTGAGAGTTTGTCCCTCTGGGATGTGGGGCCTGGGGGCAGACAGACTCACACCTGCTTTCTGAGGTTGCAGTCCCCACTGGATGGCTGGCATCGGTGCTAGGAGGAAAGTCGGGGGCAGGAGTTAGCCCAGCCCAGGGCTTGAGAGGCTGCGGATGCCATGGGGCAGAGATTGAAAGGGCTCCCATACTGGGGGATACATGGGGTCCCAGGGAAAGAGTTCGGGCTTCTCGTCAGCAGATCACTGTGACAAGTCACTGCCCTCTCTGAGCCTTGGCGTCCGAGGACAGAGTGGGACATGGCGGCCAGGTGCTTCCCAGTGCTCCCCAGGCACCCCCACTCCACACTGACCTGGGAACTTGCCATTCTGCACTGCAGGTGGGGGCTGGGATTTCAGGCCCCAGCCACCCTCTTTGTCCGAAGGGACCCCTGGAGTGGGAAGCCTGGGAAGGAGCTTCAGAGCGACCCTTGCATTGCAGGGACCTAAGATGGGAAGGAAGGGAGGGATGGAGCTATGCTCCAGGCCAGTCCTCACCGACGCCACCCAGGAGGCCTTGGCCTGGCCAAGCTACCGGCCTCTAGTGGCTTCTAGGGCAGACCCAGCACCTAAGGGGGACATTAGCCAGGCTGGAAAAAGCCCAGCTCCCTCGGGCCACACCCTGCTGGGGGGACCTGGGAATCCAGGCAGGGCATAGAGGGACACAGGGATCTGTCAGGGATGGGGCTCCTGGTGTTGGTCCACCAGCCCGTCCATCTTTCAGCAGCCTCCCTCTCCCTTCCTCCTGAGCCCCCAACCCTGCTCCCAGTGGCCTCACCTGGCTGGGGCCCATTTTCATGGCCATATCCTGGAGAGGGAAAGCAGAGATGAGTGTGGCAACACTGGGGGCAGGGGCTAGAAGGGCTGAGAGGCAGAAGGAGGTGTGGGGCAGAGCCAGGGGTCCCCCACTCGCCTGGCTTCTGAGGCTTCAAAGTCCCTCGCAAGCCTGGGGAGAGAGAGAAAGAGGCCAGTTGAGACACCAGTCCACCCCAGGGGTGTAGTCAACCCCTCTCTCCCCTGCTGATTCCCCTAGCCGCGCCTTTTCACCTGGCAGGAGCCCCAGCCGGGTCCCTGGTGTGTATCCTGGGAGGGAGAGCAGGGCATGAGGGCGGGTTTGGAGTGAGGGACCTTGGAGGAGGCAGGAAGAGGGGCAGAGAGGAACTCAGCTTTGGAGGTTTCTGGCTCCCTCCCAGTCCAGAGACCCATGGAGAATGATGGACAGGCCGACCCCACCCCTCCCCTTCTGAGACCTACCTCTGCCCCTTGGAGCCCGTCCTCCTTCCCCTCTCCTCCAGTTCCCACCAACCTCCCTCACCTGGCTAGGCTCCTTCCCACAGGAAGGCTCCAGCCCCAGCCCATTCTTGCACCCTGGGGAGACGGTGCGGCTTGGGAGGGGAAAAGAGTGGAAGGGTAGGCAGTTTCTGCAGGCAGGGAGAGTGAGGAGGAGTGGGAAGGGCTTACCTGGCTTCTGAAGTTTCATGCCCTCTCCAACGCCTGGAGAGATGCGAGCAGGTGAGAGACCAATGGTCCACCCCTTGCTGAGAGGCCTTTTCCAGTCCCAGCATCTGCCCCCCTACCAGGTGCCCACGCCAACCTACCCTACCTGGTTCATGGCCAGTGGGAACTGCAGGGCCTGTGGGGGCGGTACGGGGAGAGGCTGGGGTACAGAAGGGGGCTGGAGCCTGGCCCCCCTTTCCTCTCAGTTTAGGAACTGGAGCTCGCGGCACCTCTGTCCACCTTGTGCCACCTCCTCTCCAGACTCCACCCCCTCTAAGGCTGCAGGAGCCCCCGAGAGAACCCTCAGAACAGTGTCAGGGGAGACCCAGGCCCCTACCTCTCTCCTCCTTTGCACTCCCAGCAACCCCAGCCCCCCAGTACCTGCTCTGTAGCCATTCTGGGCTGAGGGGCCTGTGGGGAGGGAGGGGTGAGCAGGGGGTTTGGGATTCTAGCTAAGGAGAGGGCGAAGGGCCTTTGGATCCGCCTTCAGAGCCAAGTCAGAAACCAGGGATCCTGGAGCCGCCTCTCCTCCCTCATTTTGGTGCCCACCTGCCTTGGAGGCCTGGGAGCGAGACAGGAACAGCAGCCCGACACCCCCTCACTGGCTGGGCTCCCAGCCCCCTCTTGAATCCCGGTGGAACTGAGATGGGGTATGAATGAGGGAGGGAGCTCAGGGTTTGGGGGAGGCAGAGGGACAGGCTGGGCAGGGCTCACCTGGCTTCTGGGCCTTCACAACCCCTGAATAGCCTGGTGGAAAGACAGGGAGCAAGTGAGGGACCCAAGGCCTCCGCTCCGGACCTCCTGGAACCCCAGCCCCGCCTCTACCTGGTCCATAGCCATTTGGAGCTCCCAGGCCTGTGGGGCAAAAAACGAAGAGTGGTAAGGCTGTGCCGGGGGGGACAGGGAGGCAGGGCCCAGGAAGGGGGCTCTCAGTCTCTCCTCCACCTACTCTCCCCTCGGTCCTCGGTGCTCCTACAGACCTCCCCTCACTCATGAGGCAGGGGTCACCCCTCCCCTGGGAGTCCCACGCAGAACCAACTAGAGCGCCAGGATCTAGGGGAGGTGGGGCCACAGACGCAGGCAGTCCCCTCACCTGGCATCTGAGGCTTCATCCCTGCTCCTAGGCCTGGGAGAGACAGAGACAGTGACATCAACTCCAGCCAGTGCTGCTGATCCTCAGACACCAGCCCTCTGTCCCTGTGGCCCCAGCTTCTCTCTGCCTGCCCACCTCCTGACCCCTTGCGAGCCAGGCCCAGCTACCCTCACCTGACTGGACTCCCGGTCCATTTCTGTGGCCATATCCTGAGGGGAGGGATGGGGTGGGTGTGAGACAGCGGCATTCGGAGGGGGCGTCAGGAGGAGGCAGCTCAGTCGGCTGTGGGCAGCTCTAGAGACAGGGCGGGGGACCAGAGCCCTCCCCAGCCTGGCTTCTGAGGCTTCACTCCGGAGACAGAGCCACACTGGGCCAGACAGTGGCACTTAATTCCTCAGGGTTCAGACCCACACTCTGCCCTCCTGGCCCCCTGGCCCGCTCTCTGTCTTCCCCCTTCCTTCTAAGAAGCCTGGGCTCAGCCCGGCGCCGTGGCTCACGCCTGTCATCCCAACACTTAGGAGGCCAAGGCGGGTGGATCATCTGAGGTCAGGAGTTCGAGACCAGCCTGACCAAAATGGTGAAACCCTGTCTCTACTAAAAATACAAAAATTAGCCAGGTGTGGTGGTGGATGTCTGTAATCCCAGCTACTCGGGAGGCTGAGGCAGGAGAATTGTTTGAACCCAGGCCTGGGCGACAGAGCAAGACTCTGTCTCAAAAAATAAATAAATAAAAAGCCTGAGCTCCTATTCCAGGTGTCCTCACCTGGCTGGGTTCCAGCCTCAGGGAAGGCCCCTGCTCCCAGCCTCTTCCCATATCCTGGAGAGGGAGAGGGAGCATGAACCGGATGCTATGGCTTCAGGGGTGCGTGCATGGAGAGGCAGACCAGGGTGGGGCTCACCTGGCTTCAGAGGCTTCACACTCCCTCCAAGGCCTGGAGGAGATATGGGGGGTTGGTGAGTGACTCAGGGGCCCCACCCACGTTCTCCCCCAGCCCCTCCCCACCCCTGCTCTTACCTGCTCCAAATCCAAATCCATTCTGGGCTGTCAAGACTATGGGAAGAGGAGGGTGGGGTGATGATTTGGGGTTTGGTTGAGGTGGAGGTGAGGGAATACTGGAGGCTTCCTCCCAGCATCCCTTCAGGTATTCACCAGCTCAGCCCTGCATGAGACTGGGAAAGGAGGCAGGGAGAGGACGCCCCAGGGGTAGACCCCCAGACCCCACCTCTTTCACCTGGCTGAGCGCCCATCCCATTACCATTCCCTAATCCTGGGGGACAGATGGAGGTGGGGATGAGAACGGGAAGGGGGCTCTGAACACTGGGGAGACAGAAGCCCGGGGAGAGTCAGGCTTACCTGGATCCTGTGCCTTCATGCCCCCTCTAAAGCCTTCGGGAAAATGGGGAGCAGATGAGGTGCCCAGGAGCCCCCAACTCAGATCCACCTCAGAACCTCAGCATCCGGACCCCAGCTCCTCCCATCCCCTCAGGAGCTGCTCCAGGGCCATTCTGAGGTGGGGGGCTTGTTGGAGAGGGAGGGCTGAGCTAAGCTGGGGATACAGTGCCTATGGTTCCCCTTCAGGGCCAAGTCAGAAGCCAGGGTTGGAGACGCCCCGTCACCCCTCCCCATCATTCACCAATCCCACCTCTGGGAGGAAGAGGCCGCCCAGATGTGGACCCCGGAACCCCAGACTCTACCCCCTTCACCTGGCTGGGCTCCCAGCCCAATCCTGTACTGAAATCCTGGGGGAATAGATCAAGGTGGGGTATGAATAAGAGGAGGGAGCTCAGGGTTTGGGGAGGCAGAGGGACAGGCCGGGGCCGGGCTCACCTGGCTTCTGGGATTTCATGGCCCCGCCATAGCCTGGTGGAGAGACAGGGAGCAGCTAAGGAACCTGGGGCCCTAGCTGTGGGTCTCCCCAAACCCAAGCCCCGCCCCTACCTGGTTCATAGCCATTTTGAGCAGTGGGGCCTGTGGAGGAGAGAAAGGGTTAAGGCCCTTCGGAGCCCTGGATGCCATCTCCAGCCACCTCAGGCAGGGGTGTCCCCACTTCCAACTTCAACCAGCCAGAAAGATGGGTTCCTTTCCTCAGCAGCCTCCAACTGTCAAGCTCCAGCTCCTGCCACATCTTGAGTCTGACTTTTTTTTTTTTTTTCTTGAGATAGAGTCTTGCTCTTGTTGCCCAGGCTGGAGGGCAATGGCGTGATCTTGGCTCACTGCTGCAACCTCCGCCTCCCGGGTTCAAGCAATTCTCCTGTCTTAGCCTCCTGAGTAGCTGGGATTACAGGCGTCCGCCACCACGCCCGGCCAATTTTTAGTATTTTTAGTAGAGACAGAATTTCATGTTGGCCAGACTGGTCTCGAACTCCTGACCTCAAGTGATCCACCCACCTCGCCTCCCAAAATGCTGGGATTACAGGCATGAGCCACCGTGCCCGGCTAGGTCTGAGTTCTTGCTGGAGCCGGTACCTTCTTTGTTCAAAACTCTGTTTTTGGTCCAATTTCTCAGCGGCTTGGGCCACTCTCTCCTCTCCTCCCTGGCCTCCACTGCCTCCTACCCAGAATGCCCAGGGCCCAGCTCTGGGGCAGCCTCAGCTCATACTGTACGCCCCAGCGTGGCCCTAGTTGGGGAGGGCCTGTCCCCAGCACCTGCTTGGCTCAGAACAGGCATGGTTCACAGATTGTTTGTTTGTTTTTTAAACAGAGTCTCCCTTTGTCACCCTTGCTGGAGTACAGTGGTGAAATCTCCGCTCACTACTATCTCGACCTCCTGGGCTCAAGTGATCCTCCCCTCTCAGCCTCCAGAGTAGCTGGGACCACAGGCACGTGCCACCACAACTGGCTAGGTTTTGTGTTTTTTTTTTTTGTAGGTGGATTGCTTGAGCCCAAGAGTTCAAGACCAGCTTCGGAATGTTGCCCAGGGTGGTCTTGAACTCTTGGGCTCAAGTGATCCACCTAACTCCGCCTCCCGAACTGTTGGGATTACACGTGTTAGCCACCGCTCCAGGCCTGGATTGGTTTGCCGAATGAGGTTTGTTGTGTGAGACCAAGTTGGGAGGCTAGAGGTTGGGGCTCGCCTGCTCTCTGAGGCTTTAGTTCCCCTGCCAGGCCTGGGAAGAGAAGGGGAAGGACTTTCTGTTAGTCCACCCAGCCTTTCCTCTCTGCTCAGGACCAGGGACAGGCCCCCATATGAGTAACCCCCAACTCCTAAGACCTCCATGCTCCCAGAACTCCAGGGCCTCACCTGCCTGGGTTCCAGCTCCCAGGAAGGCCCCGGCTCCCCACCCATTTCCATTCCCAAATCCCACGGGAAAGAGCCAAAGAGAATGGGGAGATCCGGGACTCTAGGGAAGCAGTGGCAGATGCATAGGAAATGGGCAGCGAGACAGGAACAGGGTGGGGCTCACCTGGCTTCTGGAGTTTTCCACTCCCTCCAAAGCCTGGGGGAAAGATGAGAGGGTGAGGGATCCTTTCCTCTGGACCTGTGCCCAGAATCTCAGCCCCAGGTTCCCCGCTTCCGTCCCCACCCTCTTTACCTGGTCCAAAGCCATTTTGAGTGGCAGGACCTATTTGAGGGGCAGACACAGGAGTGTGGATGGTGGTGTAGTGGGAATGAGCTAGGACCTGGAGCCCTGCCCTCCCGCTTTCTGTCTCGCAGGACCCCTGCCCTCTCCCTTCCTGTCTCGTGTGACCCCTGCCCTCTCCCTTTCCGTCTCTGTGAACTCCCGCCCAGGCCCGACCGCAGTTGAAGCTGGATTTGGCTCTTGACCTAGAAGTCCAGACCATGGCCACGCTTGACCAGCTCGGGTGTCCTCCATGCCCAGCCGAGGCCTGACTTGGGGCAGGTGCTCAGGGGAGACTGGGTGAATGAATGAACCGCAAGAGCCCATCCGTTGGTACCCAGAGTGTGGCCCCGGGCCCCTGACCTCTCCCTCCTAGCCACCCCAGCCCCTTCGGCCCTGACCTGGCTGGGTTCCCGGTCTGTTTCCATTGCCGTATCCTGGGAGGAAAAGCAGGGTGTGAGGGGTGGATATGGGGAGGCCTTGAGGGTGGGACAAGGCCGTAGATTCAGGGGAAACAGTCAAGATAGGGGAGGGAAGAGCAGGGGCTCACGGACCCCACCCATCCCCTGTCATCCCCCAGAAATAAGCTTTCTGCCCTCTGGACCTCTGACATCCCCTGGCTCTTCCCTGTGCCTCCTAGAATCCCAGTGTGGTCCAGGTGCCCTCACTTGTCTGGGCTCCAGCTCCTGGGAAGGCCCCGGCTCCCATCCTGTTCCCATCACCAGATCCTGGGAGACCAAGGGGAAGGAGGAAGCAGAGGCTGGGGCTGGATGTGTGTGTGCGGGGAGTGGAGGACAGGGACACAGGAAAGGAGAGGCACACCTGGCTTTGGAGGTTTCACCCCCCACCCCACATCAGGTATAGAGAGAGAGAGACCAGGTAAAGGAGCCTGCTCCTCCCTGGAGCCCCCAGACCCAAGCCCAGGCCCTCAGCTCCACCCTACTCTCCCTGACCTGGTTTTGGGCCTGTGGGGCGAGGGAGGCAGAGACTGGTGTGTAGTGCAGGTCCGAACACCACCCCAGGGCCGCTGTGCCCCATGCTCTGACAGTTCTCTAAGGGCGCATGCCCAGGGAGCAACTCAGAGACCTCCACAGGAGTCCCCACCCCAGGAATGGCATTGGCAGGCCAGAGAGGGACCAGCACCTGGGGAGGATAACACAGACTGAGAGGGGGACAGAGAGGGACGAGACATGGTGAGCATAGCAGGGACGTGGTATGTGGGCGGGGTCCTTCCTTCATCCGCTTCTGAGGTTCCCTCTCCCCCAGGCATGGAGAGAGCTAGAAAGAGGCTGACATTGACCCCAAGAGCTCCTCCCCTAAGAATGAGAGTTGGGACCCTGAACCCTCCTGCCTGCCCCTCCCTGTGGCCCCTGCCCAGCCACCCTCACCTGGTGGGGTTCCTGCCCCAGGAAGAATGCCAGCGCCCAAACTACTTCTGCTCCCCAATCCTGGGGAGACAGAGGTGAGGGCCATGAGCAGTGGGGTGGGCAGGCTTGGGGGATACAGAGGCGCCTGGATATAAGTGGGCAGGGCGGGACAGGGCTCTGCCTCACCTGGCTTCGGAGGTTTCACGCCCACTCCCGGGCCTGGGAAGGGACAGAGTGGCCGAGCCCTGCCCTCCCTCCAGAGCCCAGCTCTCCCAGTTCCTGGTTCCCTGACTCTGCTCTACCCCTTCCCCCTCCCTCCTGGAAGCCCAGGTCCTGTCCCACCTGTCCTCACCTGGCTGGGCTCCGGCCACTGGGAAGGCCCCTGCTCCCAGCCCGTTTCCGTATCCTGGGGAGACAGAGCCAGAGGAACATGAGGAGGGGGGAATGGGGCGTTGAGCAGAGAGAGACAGAGGGCGGGAAGTGGACGCTGGGACAGGTGTGGGGTGGGCTCGCCTCTGGCTTCTGGGGTTTCACAGCCCCTCCAAAGCCTGGGAAGAGAGATGGGCAGATGAAGGGGCCCTGCCTTCCTGCCCTGGGCTCCCTGCTCCACAGCCACACTGAGCTGAGGCAGGGGTGAGGCCCAGGTGCCCCTGTCCCCTTACAAAGCCAGACATCAGAACTCCTCATGGTTCCCCTCCTGCCCACCTCCTGTGAGACACCCACCTGTTCTGCCCTCTCTGAGGCCTGGGGGAGCCTGGAGAGGAACCTGGAAATGCTGATCTGGTTGCATCCCCTCCCCCACAGTATCAGGCAAAGATTAGGCACCCCCAAGCCCCTTCCATTCCATACCCACATCCCCGCCTCACCTGGCTGGGCTGCAGCACCTGGGAAGGTCCTGAACCCTGGGGTGAGAAGGCAGGAGGGAGTTAGGAGGAGTGAGGCAGGCAGGGGCTGGGCGAGCCTCACCTAGGTTCTGGGGTTTCATGCCCCCTTCAGTGTCTGAGAAAGAGGGGGATCAGATGAGGGGCTCAGGAATCTCCATCCCAGGGATACCCCTAGAATCCTGGCTTCCAGCTCCCCCACTCCCACCTCTACCTGCTCCATAGCCAATCTGAGTGGAAGGGCTTGTGGGAGAGAGAGAGGTGAGTTGAGAAGGTTTGGGGTCCCAGCTGAGGTGGGGGTACAAGACCCTTGGACCCCTCCTTGGACTAAGCCAGACACCAGCAAACCTGAGAGGCTCCCTGTGCATCCCCCCACCACAATGACTCTCCAATCCTGCCTCTTCCCTCTGAGGCCTGGGAGGGAGGCAAGGAGGGGACCCCACGGCTCGCACCTGGCTGGGTTCCCAGCCCATGCCTGACCCTGAATCCTGGAGAGACAGATGAGGTGAGGTGAGGAGTGTGAGAGAAAGAGGGGGAGACAGGAAGAGCTGGGGCCGGGGCAGGGCTCACCTGGCTTCTGTGGGTTCACGCCCCCTTCAGATCCTGGAGAGACAGGGAGGTGAGGGATACTCTTCTCCCAGGATCTCCCCAGAACCCCACACCTGGCCCACAACCTGCCCAAGTAGCAGGCCTGTGGGAACTCAGTCCCTTCCCATGAGGGTGGAGGGCTGTGGGTCACAGGTGGGTGCTTTCAGTCACCTTCCCTCCCTCCTTCCCTCTCTCCCTCCTTTCTTCTCTCTTTCCTTTCTTCCCTGCCCTGCTCCATTTTTTCCTGCCTGCCTTCCCCTCTCCCCAGCCAGGGTGCCTGGGGGACACTCTGGGGCTCAGCTCTGTCCCCGCGTATTTCTGGTATTTCTGAGATGACTGCTTTCCCCTTTACCTGCCCCCCACCCCGCTTTCCCTGCTCCTGCCCTGCCTCCTCCCTGCCCTGTACCCTGCCCTCAGATGCCTCCCTTCCCTATGCCAGGCCTCACCTGCTCCCAGACCACTGTGGGGGCCATAGGCTGTGGGAAAACTGAGATGTTGAACTGGGGTGCTGGAGCAGCTGGGAGCTGGTGTGCCACCCTCCCCGAGCACCCCGCCACCAGCTTTTAACGGATCGGTAGTCATTTGGGCTCTCTAAGCCTGTGGGGTTCAGGGAGAAGCAGGGGAACTTATGGGGGGCAAAGGGGCCCAAATCTGGATGCCACCACCTTCTCCAGGTCTCAGTCTCCCTGCTGTCACAGGAGGGTAGAGGGCAAAGCAGGTAAGTAGTCTGGGGCCAGGGCAGTGGAGGCTAGAGGGTCCCTGGGCCTGGAGGAAGGTGTCTGAGCTGGGGCTCTGAGGGGTTGTGGGGCAGATCCCACTCCGCCCTCTTCCTCTCCTCTCCCATCCATTCTCAGTACTAGGCTCCCCTCCCTTCCTGGAAATCTCCTCCTCCACCTCTCACCGCCTCCGCCCCCCAATCTTTCTCTCCTGAAGCTCAGATGCATCAGGGCTTGGGGGAGCCCCTCCTCCTACCTTTAGGACCCCCCAGGTCCCTGAAGTAAAGACCCTTCCATGACACTCGCCTCCTGCCCCTCAGCAGACTCTGCTCTTCTTGTCCACTCCCTCTTCTCCCCCTCCAGGCTCCTTTGGGCTGCCGTGAGGTCCGCCCCTGCTGTCACACCTGCCCACCCTTCTCAGGCAGCCCAGGCCCCTCCTCAGGGCTGTATGTTCTGCCCGGTGGACTCTTCCCAGAGCGCAGGGTGTCTGTGCTCCCCCTCGAGTGGATACTTGATGAGACTCCTTGCCCAGAAGACAGCAAGGGCCCTGAGCTCTCCTGGGCCCCGCATCGGGAGTCCCAGAGAGCTCCCATGCACCCCAGGGCGGGAGAGATGGGAGACTCTTCCCTGACCCCAGTGCCAGAGGGGCCATTACCTTTCCCCAGGCCAGGAAGCAGTGGGGGCAGCTCTGGGGAAGCAAAGTGGTGCTGACTCAAGGCTGGGGGCCCCAGAGGCTGAGATGGGGAAGGGCCCAGGCATCTAACCTCCAGCCCCCAGAAACCCTCACTGTCTGAATTCTCTGCCCAGACCAGGTTTCCCACACCCCAGCCCTCCTTGTCTCCAGAACCCCAGTATCCGGCCAGGGCCCCACCTGGACCCCTAGCCCCAGTCACAGATGCCCACTCTACAACCCCTATCCCCGAGCTGCCCTCACCACCTTGCAGGCTCTTAGAAGTCAGGCAGAGAAGGAAAAGGGCTGCAGGGAAGGCCCAGGCACCCATGACTCTAGGCAGAGTGGGAGTGCCCACAACCTTTGGGCCTTTAAACACCCCTGGCTGGGTGGGGACCCTCACCCAGGCACCCCAGCTGCGAGAGGCAGAGGCTCTGCCTGCAGACCCTGGGGGGTCAGCCCCCCACCTTTCCCTGTGGCAGAAGTCTAGCTCTGGCTCTTCATCCATCATGGGCGCTGACAGCAGGACAGGCCCCCTAGACTTCTCCACCCCTGTCAGCGACTCAGGCCCTGGCTCCAGGCCCAGAGGGCTCAGATGTCCCCCCAGCAAGGGGCAGGCAGGCACCCTAGGCCCAGCCCAAACACAGCTGGGGAGAGGGCAGGAACCAGGGCTTTGGAGTGTTGCAGACAGCAGGGGTGGAGGTGACAGCATCTCAGACCCTGTCTGACAGGTGGTTGGTGGTCCCAACAAAAGCCAGGAGTCATCCCGTGTAGTCCTGAGACTACACAGACCCCACCGGGGGGTCCTTTGTCCTCATGGAGGCTCGGCCTGCCAGAGTGGGCCAGAGCCCCAAACTTCAGAGCCACCCCTTCCTCCTCTTTCCTCCTTCCAGGAGGGGCAGGGACACATGAGGATGGGCCAACTGTGCTCAGCCTCTCTGAGAGTCCTTGGAGGCCCTCCACCTCTGCCTCATCTTCTGCCTCAGCAGCGACTCTAACTTTGGATCACAGACTAGCGGAGCCACCGATCAGGGCTGGGGGGCGGGACTGCAGGAGAGGCTGAGAAGGGGACGTGGAGGGCTTGGAGCAGCTCTCCATGCCTGGGGCTGGGTGGATAGACTTGGAGCTGGGGCCCCGTGCTGGGGGCCTGGAAGGGAGGCGCCGGGCATGGAGGTCTGGACAACAGGCACCACCCCTCAATGAGCCTTCAGACCCCACCAGACTGGCTGGGGATGACAGTGACTCAGCCCCTAGCCCCTGCACCCTCGTCCAGAAGGTCCCACATCCTGTCTGTCTGCTGGCCTGTCCCTGGCCTAGCCAGCCCCTCCTGGCACCTCTGGCTAAGGAGTCCAGCCTGCCAAGCCAGGCAGCGCAGCTCGGCTGGGGGTCTGGAAAGGGCTATAATGAGGAAGGGGTAGCAGAGGTTTCTCCGAGAGAGGTTCCTGAGCCCACACCTCTGTGGCCAGGTCCAGCCGCCAATAGACTACAGGGTTAGTTACCACCAGGTACCCTTACTCATAGGCCAGCCCAGCAGTTAGGTTCCTGCGCCCCCTCCCTCTCTGCCTCCCCTTTCACCCACATTGTAGGCTGTACCCCACTGCTGCTCTCTCTCCCCACACATGAAGCCCCCCACAGGGCTCACACCCACAGGCACACTATGATGCCTGTGGTGCCCACCTCCCCACTACAGACCCACCTTTGCACAAGGCCTGCGTGCTCACGGCAGGGCCCCTCAGCCCAGCGCCTCAGAACAGTGCCCTGAACGCCCCGCTCCTGTCCTGCCTGGCAGACAGCCATGAGTTGGGGTCCCAGAGGCTGGACCTTCATGGGTGGCTGACAGGGGCTCAGGGATGCCCCCTGGCCCCATCCATCCTATGAGTGCCCAGGGTAGCAGGGACGGTCCATTCAGACTCCCTGGGAGGACTTTCCTGCCAGGCCACCTGCCCCGCCCATGGCAGCAGGCACATGTCCCCCGCATATTCATGGAGGGTAGCCGAATAGCCCCGTGGCTAGCAGCTGAGTGCTGGATTCACACAGGGTGCAAACACCCACTCCATCTGGCTCGGGGCCTTCCTGTGTGTGTTCACTCTCCCCTAAAATGAAATAAGAGCACCTCTATACTGGGGCTACTGGGAGGAGCTGCTGCTTTTCCTCATTTACAGATGAGGAAACAGAGGCAGGGGGAAGGGACTTGGCTCAGATTGTGTACCTCCCGAGCGGTGGGGCTGAGATCTGAACCCCAGCAGTCTGGAAGTCCCCATGCCTGCTGTCCCTGCTCTCAAGCATCTTACATGCTTACAGGCGGGCAGTAGGCCCAGTTATGCCAGACGGGATGAGGTGTCTGCTTGAGACCGAGGCCAGCTGAGAGCTCCTACACAGACACATGGCTTGCCCTGCAGGGCACTGGGAAAGCGTAGCCCAGGAGGAGGCAGGCAGGAAACCAGGAGGTGCCCTGTGGGAGGTAAAGGATGGGCACCTGCTTGGCCACTGCCAGAGGGAACACCAGTGCCCGCCACCACTGCCAGTCTGCCTGGTGCTAGCATGGCCTTGGAAAATGCCAGCCAGCCCAGGGCCTCGGGCCAGCCTGACAGTCACTCAGGACCAGGTTGGGTCCAGTCGGGTGTCCCAGCCCCTGCAATGCCACCACTCGTACTCCTAGCACAGCCAGTCCTCTCTACTCACCCCCAGACCCACCCAGGCAGGGCCTGCCTGACAGCACAGAGTCTATGTGTGGGCTGGGAGAGCCCCTGATGGAGTCTTGACCTGGGCTACCCTTTGCTCCCAGGCACCCTGGCCTGAGGGGGACACAGCACAGCCTCTGAACAGAGGAGCAGCTATGAGGGGCTAGGGCTGAGGGCCAAGGGCAGGGCGACAGCAGGGATGTTGAAAGTGCAGGACCCAGGCCCAGGAAGTGCATTGCCCTAAAATGGCAAGAGACTCCCTGCCAGCTGCTTGACACCAGTGGCACCTGTGAGGGCAGGAATTTGGGGAGGACAGCTGGAGCGGTGGCCAGGCGCCAGCCGGGCTGACACCTTCTGCACTCGCAGCTGTGCTGAGGGTCCTGCAGGCCACTCTGCTTGGGCAGCTCTTCAGCCCATACCCAAGCATCGGAGCCTCTAGTGTACCTTCCTAGGCGTCCCAAGGCAACTCACACCAGCAAAGCTGACCTCTATGAACTCCTTCTCCCCACCCATCTGCCAGTTCATTAAAACCTTGTGCAGACCTGGTGCAGTGGCTCACGCCTGTAATCCCAGCACTTTGGGAGGCCGAGGTGGGTGGATCACGAGGTCAAGAGATCGAGACAATCCTGGCCAACGTGGTGAAACCCTGTCTCTACTAAAAATACAAAAATCAGCTGGGCATGGTGGTGCACGCCAGTAGTCCCAGCTACTCGA